GACAATAACCGCTATTTTTAAAAGAGTTTGAAATACTGGTAGTTGTATTTTCCGACTTATGACAATAACTGAAATAATTTTAGAACTTGTATGTTGGAAATGCGGTTTATTTATATGATATTTTTATCTATTTTGACCGGAAGCTGAGTTGTTTTGATGGATTATAATATTTGATAAACACCTTGAATTAAAAAGCAAACCTGAGCAAATAAAGTATACATATACATAGTGAGTCATTGAAAACAGTCCACACCACGATTTTTTGCAGTAATTATTAGATTCTGACTATAACTATTATCCTAGTGAACTGTTTTCTGTGGCACACTCCCCCACTCTATAATAGGTCTGTTCTGGTTCTTCAGAAATATGTTGAAAACTGTCTGAGTACTTGCTGATCAGTGGAAAGTTTAAAAGTTTTAAGCGACGAATAATTTGGTATTCAACTGTTCCACTGGATCTTGAACGGTTTGCAGCACATTTTGAAGAAACCAGAACAAGCCTATAATATGAAGTGCTGTATTAGCAGGTACAATGGGATATTGTAACACAAGCTCCCTAACTATAATATTTTAATAGACTGTTTTGCTCATTTTATCATTATTATTTTTGTTTAGCAATAATGAAACGTTAAAACTGTTATATAATTTGAAAAAAAGGGACATAATATTCGAAATACTTTTTTTTAGCCCAGATTTATTTATATTTTTGTATTGGTTCTTCGGAAGCAGAATTCTACGTAAGGGGCTTCTAAAATAACCTAATTGTTTATCAACAAATAAAATATTTCCATTATTAAAACAGGAAATATTTATGACAATTTTTCCCAAGTCCAGTTGGTAAGGTAACTATTTAAAAAAAGTGTGAGAAAATCAGTATTATATATAAGTAGTAAGAGTATACTAATTTTGCATGCCATCTACCTAAAAGTTCTTACCAATGTAATACCACCACCACATCGCTTTAACCTCACCGATCACCATAAAGCAAAAGAAAATAATAACAAAGCAAACGAAAAATCGAGAAAAATAGAACAACAAAAAGCCGAAAATACTATTAGTACGAAAAATTCAAAAAATATATAAACACAACACTCATACCGCAACCGCGTCGAACCGCAACTGAAATCTTACAAAAACCGATCTGTTTACAATGTGGGTTAATTTTACGGAGCTTTTATTCAAATAAGAAACTCAATAATGATCCAAGTAAGTTATATTCTGGCAAAGGTCAGTCCAGGTTGTTGCGGATCGATAGTTTTCTTCTTATCGCATTTGGGTTATCAGAACAAAAATAATACATCTTTAATGCCGCGATATAACACTTTGCAAAGTAATTTTGCAAATGCGGAGGGAGTGACAATTTCAGCCAGGACCGTATTCGTGAGTCGCGCGGGTTTTCCCCTAATCGTAATTCGTGTACGAGATATATTTGGACTTTTAAATTCCTAAAATTCGAGGGTTGATCCCAATTTTTCCACCACTACAGTAAATTGCCAGATTTAGATTTTGACAGTTTGACAAAGGTTATGTGTATAGAGTATTATTGTTGTACCTGATTGTCAAAGTATACTTTTGTTACATGGCGTTTACAGAGGAAAGTATTATTATCACTGTCACAAATAATGGTACTGTAATTGCAGAATTATGTATTGTTTACTGAAACTGTCTAACTAAAAACTTTAAATTACAAAACGGGTAAAACCTATCGGTGCTATATTAGCCCTAAAACATGGCATTCAATGTACCAATTTTCGTACAAATACGAACCATAAACACACATAATCTCTGTATTTTATGATAAAACCAACAAGATTACTGTCTTAAAATGTTGTCATGACAACTTTTAAGACAGTCGATAAGACAATTGTCACGTCAACGTCGTTTAAGGAATGTTCGCGATCAAACGAAACAGTTAACTGCCATGTCTGTGACATTGACAGAACAGCAGTCCTGTGTAAATGCCGTGTTAGTTAATAGTGATAGTATGTCGTGGATTTTTCTAAAATTTTCTAAACTATTTGCATATGGTGATAAAGTGAATTTCATAAATAAATAATTTTATAAATATATTTCCTTATAGGGTAAAGACAATGACTATATAATACATTTTGATAAATTACGGTAACCCACTGGCGTAGAATCAAGGGCTAAGCAAATAATTTTTCAACACCCTGTATTTAATAAAAGGTTCTAAATTATTTCTCACGAAATTTTTCACAAAAAAGATACTCGCATCATATTTTTAAGATGTCTTTACCTTAAGGGAAGATATTTAGAAAATTATACATTAACGAAATTCACTTTATCACCCTGTAGAATGGAAAATGAGACGTTAGAAGAAAATTATACTTAGCTTTTTTTAATACATGTCCCACATTTTACGGTACTTTTTTTTGTATACGGTGTCAGTCACTGAACGATTTCCAATACGCTTTGCACTAGTGCGATCAGGAAAATAATATCAACGTTACCAGGTCATCGTTGTAACTGCCAGTCTGATATTATTCGTTTCCTGCTCGCACTAATGCTAACTCTGTGTAATTTTCACATGCACTTGTGTAGCGCGTATTTGAAATCGTTCGATAGCCTATACTGTATATAAGAACATCTTAGAATCTGATTAGTAAGTAAATATGGTTTACCGCCATAATAAACCTTAGGAAAAAACTTACAATTTCGTTGTAGCTTTAAATAGCTTTCTGGGTAGACAATGAGTATTAAAAATTTAATTACAAAGTAAACATAAACGTTTTCTACACGTAAACCATAAAAACCGCACAATAAAAACATACATAAACTTGCTTGGATTAAAAAAAAAGCAAGAATTTTTTTCGATCATTTCAATGTTAAATATTTTCAATGAAAAAAAAAAAAAAAAACATTTAATGACAAGAAAATTTGAATTATTTGAAAACTACACACAAATGAAAAAGAGTAAGAAACAAATTGAAAACAAAACAAAAAATGAATTATAAAAAATGTTCAAAGTGGCGCCCATCTTGTTCTAAACACAACTGAACTCGTTTTTCAACGGATCGTTTCACTTTGAGAAGAATTTCTCCAGTTACTGTCTGAAGCTCTTATTCTAGCTTCCATATCTTTCGGAGTAGTTAGTGGGGTGTTATAAACTATACTTTGTATGTGTACCCATAAAAAAAATCCAATGACGTCTAGTCTGGAGATCTTGGAGGCCAATTATATAGACCACCTCTTCCGATCCATTTAAAAACAAAACGCCGGTTTAAGTATCGCCGTACTCGAAGTTGAAAATGTGCGGGGGTTCCATCCAACTGCATCCACATTTTCTGCCTAGTATTTAAAGGTACATTATCAAGGAGCCCAGATAATTTTCTCCGCAAAAATTTTAGAAATGTTCTGCCATTAAGATGGCCGGTAAAAAAATAAGGACTAATAACGTGTAAACCTAATATTCCTCCCCACACATTCAAGGACCATCTATGCTGATGATCGAGAGTACGAAAGACGTGAGGATTCATCACTATAATAATGATAGTTATGGCGATTAACGAGTCCATTATTATGAAACGTACACTCGTCCGAAAACAGAACATTATCAAAAAAATCCGCTTCGGATTCTACTTTATCCATAATCCATAAACAAAAATCGATTCTTTGTTGAAAGACCCTTTGATACAGTTCTTGGTGCAGCTGTATCTTATAAGGATGAAATTTATGTTTTTTTTATTATTCGTCCAATACTTCTCTTACTTATTCCAGTTTCTCTACTAATAGCCCGATTACTTGTGTGTGGGTTTTCTATTAGTGAGGCAATAACCCAAAATTCATTATCATGATCTCCTACAATAGGTTGAGGCTGAATAATTTTTTTATAATTTTCGTTTCCGCTAACTTTAAACTGTTGTAGTAATCTTTCAAAAGCACGTCTGTCAGGTTTCTCTCGATCTGGGTATTTTTGGCCGTAAACTCTAGAAGCCAATAAACAGTTTTCATGACACTCACCAAGAACAAGCACCATATCAATTCTCTCTGCTTTAGAATAAGTGTTCATGTTTCAAATTCGATTTTTCGTACATTTGATATCTAACTTTGGTCACTTTGACGGGAAAGAGTATTTACAAAAATTAGCTATATTAAACATAAAAACAGATATTTACTAAAAAACCGTTGAATGTAGGTATAGGGGTTGAATTTAGGTATAGGGAAATCTTATATGGAATGAAAGATAATTTTAATTTAAAATAAGAATATTATTCAACTACATATGTAAGTTGAATTCAATTAGACTAAATGAGCACCCTGTATGATGTAATGGAAAAAATTTGCATTTTATTCGAATATCTTGGCTACGCATATCTCAGGTGACTGTGTTTTAAATAACCGCGACATACTAGATTATGTTGTTCAAGCTTACAAATTAAGAATCCTTTAAATTTTTCAAAAACGAAAAAAGATAGGTATAGGAAACATTACAGAAACTTTACTTTATTTTTCCGGGGAATCAAGAGACACCATCAAATATAGGGTGTTCCCTTTAAAAAAACATAACTTTGATATAAATTCCTATTTTTGGGTCACCCTGTATAATCCAAATTATTTTTAATTTGTAGTGTTAATGGCCCTGTATATCCCTATTAAGAAAAAAAAGTCAAATTTTAAGTCATTTTCCCTACAGAGACCGACGAGTATAGGATGCGCCACCCTGTATGTATAGCGGTTCGCCAACAAAAAATAAAATAAACAATGTATTAACATGTTCGACATGTTTGTCACCTACTACCTGGGTTATGTTATAATAATTATAAGTGACGCGCGAAGTCATATGATGTGCGCGGAGGAAATCAACCACTCGGTATAGTATTCGACCTCCTACCACTTTTATACTCATTGTACATCTAACACATATTCAACATAAGAAACAAAAACAAAAGCTCGTTGCAAAATAAAAGTAACAAGCTAAAAAAAAAATAAAACAAACTGAAGCATAGGTAAAACAAAAAAAAAGAATTTTTAAATACTTGCCATTGGTAAATTTATCAATTCCCGGATATCGTACACATTTGGCAGGATTGATTTCCATAACATTAAAAAGATCGGCTAAGAAAACTAGAAGGTTTTGTTTCATCGATCTAAAAAGAGAAAAATTCGTAAAAAAAGCTAATGTTATAAATCAATCAAATTATATTGCTCACTCTCGCATATAGGTAACATCTTCTGGCATCAGATGAAATATGGAAGCCGGTAAACATCTAAGACAGAAGTCTTCTAATAGCTTAAGATTGTAGATGCTATCCTGTACGGATGGAACACAAGTTATCCTTATATCAGTCCAAGAAAGTTCATCATGGCAGTAATATGAAATTAACGCTGCCAAACCGACCCCATCGCACAAGTCTTTTAGCTCTCTTTGTTGTGGGAAGTCCGGTACTTTCAACCTGTCACCCTAAAAACCATTTCAAATTTTATAAACAAATTAAAGTAATTGGCACAGTCAGTAGGATTCAAAGTATACCGCAGTACTTACGTCTCCCCCGTTTGTAACTCCGCTACCAATTTCTTGCTCTATCCTTATACGTAACGCATCACAGGTATGATTAACCCAAACTAACAACTGGTCCACTATATTGTCCGACATATTCGGAACCGAAGTTTTTCCATGATCGAACCTTTGAACCGCAGAAAGTATTCTATCTGGCGTTACTACTTCCCGAGTATACAGCAACATTATCATTTCGATAACTGCCATGTGGGCAGTCTAAAAAAAAGTGGAAAAAAAGACACATTATTGAAGATATTTTAGGCGAATGAATATTGATTGATTTTTCTGTTATTAAGATGATAAATTTACATACCATACGAAGGGGGTTGGTTTGGATCAGCGTTGTTTCCGTAAGCTGACCATCCTCATTGCTGTAAACCCCTTTCCTGGATAACGTTTGCAAAATGGCCCAATGATTGAGATTATGGTAGTTGGGATCCGAGTAAATGTTGCCGAGGGCCAAGCAATAGATTTCGGCGTTTGCCAGGCCCCCGGCTATTTGGGGTTTCAAATGTTCTTGATTCTAAAAAAAAGGAATCAGTAGTTAAACGACAATGTTTAATTTTATTTACCGAGTAATCACACTACAACCTATAGAGGGATTCAGATTTTCATATTGCCACCTTGTGTGGCCATTATGATTATATCTTTTGCTCATTTGGAGACGTTTACTTGTTGTTTGAAACTCTAAACTAGATTTATTTAGTTCAACAAACAAAAATTTTGAACATTATGCCAGAGACAACAGAGACGTGTAACTTAATAGGAAAATTTGTTCGATGATCCATTTAAATTACATATATGACTTTCTTTCTCTTTTACATTGATCTTTACATATATTTATCTCTCTCCAATAAAACTAACACCAGTCCTAGAGGTCGCTGATGTTGCTAGTTTTTTGACGTCGACGTGTGACCTAAAGATTAGAACTGACAATGTTATAAATGTCATGAACGTGTGCATTTTATTAAAATTAATTTAATTTGAGTCCCATTTACTTCTTTGAGTCTGATTTTGTTGTTTAATTATTTTTTTTTTTGGGGAGAGTGTTTATTTTCGCATATTATTTTTTGCATGAAGCAGTTTCTGGAACCAAACACGCGTTTTTGTACACGTTTCTTTCTAGAGGTAAGTAATTTCCAATTTATTTAAATAAACCACTGTATAATGTGTGTGTTTAATAATGTATTACAAAATGGCTATAATTATTTTAGGTGAATTGGAACAGAGATCCATTGTTACAGCTACTTTTGTTCATTAAGTAGGTAGATGAATGTCTCGACAGCTTTAATGACAGCGCAAAGTTCCCATCTACTAGAAAAGAAGTAAAATGTATGCTGAGTAAAAAATCTCTGCACATGTAGTATTGGCAAAAGACTTTTGAAATGATTAGAGATTGGCTATTTCTTACATTCACCTATCTCTAATAGCCACTCTAGTGGCTTGAATAGGATCTGCTATAACTTTTTTAGAAGATTCCCTTGATAATAAATTGTAATATACCAATTGTTTCAAATCAAATTGAAAAAGTTAAATTCGAAATTAGATTTTTCATAGGTGAGTGAGTATGGAAAATAGGTATACCCTGGTGGTGTAAGAGACAGGTAAGGGAGAACGACAAAAAAATTACCAAAAATGTATTCATCTTTAAATAGTGTTTATTATTAATATTATTATTTGCTATGTTTGAAAAGTACCTCCTTCTGCAGAGCAGATCGAATAGATTAGACGACTAGTTGGAGAAGGTCCACCTAGTCACCAAATTAGGAGACTAGGAAAACTTTTACATGACTTGGGACACAACAGGAATGCACACGCACAAGATACACAAACAGACGACATAACAAGGGTAAGCCTTCAGCAACGTCCTGTTTAAATGATGATAGTATGTCATCCTTCATTCCCTTTTAGAAGGCATGACATATAAATCTATTGATCTTGAAGAACCTAAGAGGAGTTAGCAGGGGGCTGGACAGAATGGGTCTAGCAGGTTTCGATCCAGTTTACAGGATGGGAAGTTACTCGACTCGGGCCTTATACATTTGTGTGAGTGTATGTGTGTTTGTCATAACATATACTTTATACTTTATAAAATATTTGTTACATTATTTTTTAAATATATTATGAATATATAACAACTGACTTTCCTTGTAATTTGTCACAAAATTATACGAGGTACTTTCTAAACGTAGCAATTGTAGTTTGTTTTTCTGTACCTTACAAAAATATAATTTATAAAAAAAGAGTTTGATGTATTATTTTTCCAAGTTTAAATATTTAATAATCAATAGAATTTTCAAGAAACAAAATCCTCCATTATCACTAATTCACAAGATTTAGGTTGGTTAGTTATTTAATCTGTATTTGTCATTCAAATTAATTAAGATTGGAAGTTTCAATTAATTTGATATGGTAAAATATTTAGGTTTTGTATGTCAACAATAGATTTAGATTTTGTATGGCAACCAAACATTGATATATAGATGAATTTTTAGTTTTAAAATGGAATGACATTATGACTGCTCGAAATCAGTTGGACATTGAATCAAGGATCTGCACTTTTCAGATAAAAATCTGCTCTATTTTGGCTTTAAGGCCTGATAATGTCTGTTGTGGCTTGTTCATTAATATGTTTCGTTTTATCCCATACTGGTGCAATGATATTAACCTTCACCTGGCCTCGTGGGGTACGTACATACCCCACGCTCTTTCTCTTCGATTTTCGATATCCAAATCTTCGAAATCGAAACTCGTAACGACATCTATCGGTAGTCAAGAGATACACTTTCAGCCCTTTTTATGGAAAAACAAAAACGCATTTTTTTCAAGTTTTCCAGTGGTCCGGATTTTTTTATGAACGCTAATCTTTATTTTTTCAACTCTGACTATTCTACAGTTTAAAGTGGTATCTAAACAGGATCTCTGAATTTTTTTAAGACAAAATAATCAATATTTCAATTTTTACACAGATTTTTATCACTGGGGTTCGTACGTACCCCACGAGTCCAGGTATGTTACTCAGGATGAGAATGCCAGGTGAAGGTTAAGGTCAGGAAAGGAAATGTCTGTTTCATCTTACTGAAAGATGTAATTTTCGCAAAGATTCACGATTCTTGTTAACAGGCTGTTTCGCAGCATTCATAGTACCACCAATATTCAATCCTGAAGCTGAAATTTATATCGTTCCAATAAATAGTTAGGATCCATAATTTTTGATAATTCATTCAAATCTGTATCAGAGATCCTTAGAATATTTTGTAAATTGTCATTAAGGTGATTACAGCACCCCCTTATAATTTTCGGACAAGGATATCTCAAAAAGTAATTTTTTTAGAAAATTTAAATTTGGGCAAAATAAGTTAGGCAATCATATCTAGAATATCCATATTTTTTAAAGTTTTAATTCCTTCCAGTTTCCGAGAAAAAAAAATCAAAGGGCTTTAAATTTTGAAATATCATAATGAAAATAAATGCATTCCTCAACAGCAGTATTCTTAATATAATCCCCAAATTTAAGCTCTTAATCTCTTGTTAATGATTTTTTAAAATTCGCCGAAATTAGTGGCTAACAAGTGCTTCTTTCTAGTGTAACGCATCTGTAACTATCGTATCGTACACTCTGAGTCATCATTCGTTTCTTGCAACGATTTACATCAGTTTACAACAGTTTAAACCAGAAAATAGAACTTAACAAGGCGTTTTAGCCACTAATTTCGGCGAATTTTAAAAAATCATTAACAAGAGATTAAGAGCTTAAATTTGGGGATTATATTAAGAATACTGCTGTTGAGGAATGCATTTATTTTCATTATAATATTTCAAAATTTAAAGCCCTTTGATTTTTTTCTCGGAAACTGGAAGGAATTAAAACTTTAAAATATATGCATATTCTAGATATTATTGCCTAATATATTTTGCCAAAATTTTAATTTTTTAAAAAAAATACTTTTTGAGATATCCTTGTCCGAAAATTATAAGGGGGTGCTGTAATCACCTTAAAATGAGTCGATTGACGAATACTTAACTAAGTTGATTAACTGACGACAAAAGTACCGATTATTTAATCTGGAAAGGTACCAAACGATTAAAAAGGCCTACTATACATAACCCACTAATCAGAAATAGTGATGGAAGCTGGGCCCGAAACAAAACAGATTTGCGGAATATTTATTTAGAGAGTACCTTCCAACCCAATAATGGTGAAGATCTTCAAGACTGTAAGGAACTAGCACAAGAAGAACTACCTCTCCAAAAGAAGTTTATATAAAAATCCAAACAATTATAAATCCGAAAAGCTGTTATCAAAATGACCAATCTTTCTTATAAACTAAAGTACGTACCAAAGATGTGGAAGGTGGCAGAAGTTATACCTATATTCTAAAAATTTTATATTGACAAAAACTACCTAATATAAAAATTATAATTATTTGCAATGTAATTTAAAAGGCAGAAGCTCCACCTCTGATTATGCTTTTCATATTATTGATAATGTTGCGATAAAGACGAGAAACTTATCGTTCAAATATGCAGTAATCGCAGCATGATCCATAATAACAATTTGTTTTGTTGAATAGCAAAATTATTCACAGTCATCTGCAAAATTATGATCATTTGTATCATGCCTATTTGTACCCAAGGGAATCGCGATGACCAGCTACAGAGTGGTTTCTATAATAATTCCACTTACCTCATGATCGCGATAAAATGGATCCTTTAAATTTTCGGGAATTTTATTGTTGAACGCTTTTGAAAGGAGCCATTTCACCGATGCCTTCTGTTTGGCCTGTAACAAAGGATACTAATTAACATCTAGATGATATAAACCAATTTATTTTAACAGACAACAAAACAAAATGTGTTAAAATCCTGGAAAATGTCACTGTTTTATTTTGAATGAAATTGATTTTAATATATTTCTTTGTCAACTAGGGTCATTACGTTTCTTACATATTACAGTGTTGTTATTAGTAAGTTACATATTTGTAATTTATTACGGAAAGAGTTGTATTAAAAGTACTATAATAAGCAGTGGCGTAGCGTGGCGTCGATACAAGGGGATTTAATGAGTAACTGCTATTCACATTTTATAAAAACCATCAAGTTTTTTTTTATTAAAGTCTTTAATTTTGGACTCGGCGGCGCCGATGTTTATTTTTTGTTTATAGTTTTAAGAAGTTTGATTTATTGGTAGTCGGTATTTCAAGATAAGTTGTAAGCTTCTACTTGATTTTTATAAGTGATGACTAAGCAAAATGATACACACTTGCCTTTCATAGTGAGGGACAAGGGGAGCGGAACTGAGCCAGCAGGATGTTGTTAGAAAAATAAGGAAGGAGAACAGATTAGAGAAGTGTGATCGATCGGGCGGTGGTACGCTGGCTCCGGATCGCTAGTATCATTTCTTTAATTGATTAATAATTGATATCGTATTATAATCTGTATTTCTTTAATAATTATTTGTGTAACACAGTTTAAGGTGTTGTCAACATTGTTTATTGTTGCATTAACAAGTTTTACAAGTGTTAAATGTAGTGTTTTGTCATAACAATGTCTGACAGTGACGCCCTAAATATCCAAAATCCGACAAGTATATAAAAAATGAGGCAGGTTAAAAAAATAATCATAATAATAAAAAAAGAGTGAACTAAATTAAAGTAGGACAGTTTGCGTAAAAAAACAAAAATTTTAACGTAAATTAAGAACAATCCTTCTAGTGTGCAGATTTGTGAAAATAGTTATTACATTTTCTTCAAATAAAGGGGAAGAATATTATCTCCCATTAAAAAACTCAAATAAAACGAATTCGTGCTTCAGCATAATCATCCAAGTATAATATTGATTTGCCTCCGTCTTTAACCTTAAATACAGTTCGCTCATATTTTTGAGTTTATCAAGACGTGAATAAACCTAGTTAGCTAATACTTTAAAAGTCAATGTGCTCATAACCATTATCAAGATACAAGGAAGATAATATCAAAAAAGGACACATTTTGCTATGCCCTGGAGTTAACTATCCTCGCAAAGTCCAGGAATTATGTTATATTGATCCCTAAATACCTTCAAATGCAGCAGCAAGCCCAAAAGTAAAAAAAAATAGGTACAATCCATTTTTGTATAAAGGTAGGTCTAATGAACTCTCAAAAATATAAAGATATGCTGGAACAAAAACTGGAAGATGAACTAAGAAAAATTGATGTCAATAATTGCAATTTTTAACAAGATTCAGTTCCATGTCTAGTGTCGAAAATTATGATGAATTATTAAATGGCCAGGAAACTCATCGGTTCTAAATCCTATCGAAAAGCTGTGGGCTATTGTAAAAGCTAGATTTCGTAAAGTAGATTGCAAAACAAAAACGAAATCAATTGAGGCTAAAATCCAGTGTTTCGAGACCAGAAAATATCAGAAAACTGTAGAAGAATAGACCCCTATGTCTGGAATACGCAAAAATGGACTGTAGAGATAATTTTGTGTCCACTTTTTTACTGTTGTGCTTTCTGCTGCATTAAAGGTATTTATGGATGAATATAACATAATAGCAATTGAAGGGAAATTGTCATATTCCCCTCGTAGATTCAAGGCCAGGTCTCGTTAAAGATACGAACGCCTTATCAATTTTTTTTATCAAAAGACAAAAACTAGCCATATTCTAAATTCTGTAATTCGTGTTTTTGCCTTACTTGAAACAAGACTTGACTCATCCATTAACAATTTAAAATTATTTCCGGATAGTTTTAACATATACAGGATGGATCGTAATTTTGAACGGACTTCTTTAACGAGAGGTGGAGGTGTGAGTATTGGGGTACATGAAGATTTTGTTTTCGTAGAAATTAATCTATCTGATTTTAACTTTCCTCAGCTTAAATTGATTGATATCATAGTTGTTAAAATAACCTTTTCATATAAATATATTTATTTTTTAAATATTTACATACCTCCTCAACCTCCACTAAGTTTGAACAACTTTTTGACGCCCTGACATTGTTACATAATATTACATAATAATGCAGTTCTCGTTGAAGCAAACTTTAATGTTAGTGACTATGCTAACTATTTGGATTATGGTGCAACTAATAGGGAAATCACTATATTAATAATTTTTCACAAATTTTTGAACTTTCTCAAAATAATTTTGTATGTAATAACCTTAATAAACTCCTCGATCTGTTTTTTGTTTTATAGAGAATGTCATGTGGAGAAATCACTGGATCCATTTGTAACTGAAGATCGACCTCATCCTGCTTTGGATATTAGTTGTATACTAGAGATAACGGCTAACTTCAAAAGTAAATTGCAATCCTATTTTCAGAACAGTTATAACTTCAAAACAGCTAAACTGATGTTATTTACACATACTTTTCTAAGGCCTTCGACAGACTTGATCATGGCATTTTGCTTAACAAACTTGTAGTTTTTGGATTACCTTCCTCTTTAATTTTACTGTTTCAATCCGATCTATGGGATCGAAAGCAATATGTCCAGCTCAATGGTTTTAGGTCTGCTGAATATAGTGCTTCTTCCGGTGTTCCACAAGGGTTAAATCTGGGACCCCTTCTTTTCATTATTCATTAAGGATATTGCAGATGTTATAAATGTAAATTTCCTTTTGTATGCTGATGATCTAAAACTATACTGCCTCGTGGAGAAGATAGGTGATTGCGAAAACCTCCCAGCAAACTTAACACGAGTTATTGAATGGTGTTACCGAAATAACTTGTCACTTAACCCGGATAAATGTAAAGTTATGCCCTACAGTTTAAAAACGAATATCATAATCTTTAAGTATTCAATAGAAAACGTTGCCCTTAAGCGACCGGAAAAATTTACTGATCTTGGCGTCACGTTTGACACTACACTATCATTTAATAAGCATATTGACAATGATGTATCCTCCTTCTATCGCATGTACAGATTAAGGCAAAGGCAAGGACAATGTAAAACTGAGTCAATCAAATAGTACGTATTTATTTTGTTCATTTTTTGGCTTAGGTGTATACAGCAAATATGCCAGTTTTAGTTTGTGTTTGATTTTCATTCATGTGTGTTCTGTGCAGGCTTTTTACTGTTTCCCAGCGCCACTTCAGAAACAGCACTGTTAATTAGAACCCAACAGTGAATGGCCGGAGTGGGGAATCCTATTAGGCATCAGAATTATTTTTTAATTATTTTAATAGTGTATTTTTTTTGCAACAAAAAAAAAGATCTATATATAAATAGTTATTTTGCTTATGATATAAGTAACATGTTGACGTCAAAAATGCAGTCATATCGTTATATTTTATATGGTAACTCAAAGGACGGATCTGCCTTTTAAATTTATCGGCATTCCATTGCCTTCGGGGCAAGAAAGCAGCTTTGCAAAAATTTCAGATATTCCATTTATTGACACACGTGCAGATGTGTAGGTAATAATAATATAGAAACGGACTAAAAAGGCAAAGAGAGAAACTACAATGTTTGTAGTATTCATAATACAATATAAAGTCCATAGAACAGGTATTTATTAATTAAATTTGATGATTATTGTTCTGAAAGGTGTGTAGGTAGGTGAAAATTAATTGTGTTTAAGATTTCATCTTCTCGTTTTCCTCTTTAAAATAAAAGAAAAATCAGTATCGACTAAGGATACGAAGAACACTAATTACGTTATGTAAATAACTTTATTGGTTCTTAAAATATTCCCCTTTAAAATATGTACACTTTTCCTTCTAATGAAACCAATATTCAAAACAATTTTTTCACTAATGAGCAAAGTACCTTCACCTTCAAAACAATTGATTTAGAATTTAAATGCTTCGGGCGATGAAAAACACTCGCCACGCATTTTATTTTTGATGTGTCGGCGGTAAATCGGCGATTATGGGCAATGAGTTATTAATTAATTGGATGTTGTTACTATGTTACTGGCATTGTCATGATGAAGAATGATTCGCCGGTTTACGTTGTTTTTTCTTATATCAGTGATAACTTTCGTCAAACAAATAAGTATTTGAAGTATTCAGCATTAACTATCCTTCTTTCATCTAATGCAGCAATTGCAACATAGCCCGTTATTCCGAAGAAAGAAGCAATCATTTTTTTAACATCCATACTGTAGGTGGTATTTAGTTTCAGGCTCATTTTTTTTGCATAGAATCACAAAATGGAAGAGGTAACAAACAATTAAGAATGAAAAAGAGAAAACATTAAATATTTAATTTCAAATAACAAGAGGATTCAACGGGGACACTCGCTTCTCGCCTAGGGACCCATCAAGGCATTAAAAAAACAGACATATACTAAGTCACGGTAAAGGGGTAAAATAAAACAATAGGAAAGAAAACAAAGGTAACTAGTCTACGAGAACTACTAATCACAAGCGTATACCTGATTCCATTAAAAATTTAATCAAGTAGTCATTAATGTTTATGGAATTTGAGGACAATAAACTTTGGATATTCCAAAGGGAGTATATTTTGCATTTAAGCAGGTCGTTGTATAGCTTGTCAGAGAATTTTTGTTTTTAGTAAAATTAAAGAAGATATGGTTGTTTCTAACTTCGATAACTCAATCAAGGACACACACACTTTGCTTTCACTACTTTTTATTATTTAAAAGTTACATAAAGGCATAAAACAATTATATTTATTTGTGTAAAAGAAAGCTGTTGCTTCCTTGACTTTCTATATGTTAATCCCTATATTGTCTCTTTGGGGGCTGGAAAGCCCTCACATCCTGTTGGTACTGCGGCGTTGCCGAACTTTGGTATAACTCCCGAACAATGGTCTAGATCTCCTTTTT